GAGTGCCGCATGCCGAGCGTGCCAGGGGCCGACACGGTAGCGCTTGGGCCTCGCTCAGGGACCCCGTGACCCCCTCCTCGCTATCTCCAGTGGCCCCCGTTCCTTGGGGGTCTCGGGCCTCTGCTGGCCTTTCATTTCCCTTACTACCTGTGATGTGTAAAGAAGGGGAAGGGAGATAGAGACAGATGGACTATATTTGTCTATATTTTTCAGGCAGACAGACAAAGGGATAGACAGGCTTAGAGAGGGAGCGAGATTAAGAGAGAGAGAGAGAGAGAGGGAGAGAGATAGAGATAGATAGATAGATAGATAGATAGATAGAGAGAGAGAGAGAGAGAGAGAGAGAGAGAGAGAGAGAGAGAGAGGAGAGAGAGAGAGAATGGAGGTTTCTGTCTGTCTGTCTGTCTGTCTGTCTGTCTGTCTGTCTGTCTGTCTGTCTGTCTGTCTGTCTGTCTGTCTGTCTGTCTGTCTGTCTGTCTGTCTGTCTGTCTGTCTGTCTGTCTGTCTGTCTGTCTGTCTGTCTGTCTGTCTGTCTGTCTGTCTGTCTGTCTGTCTGTCTGTCTGTCTGTCTGTCTGTCTGTCTGTCTGTCTGTCTGTCTGTCTGTCTGTCTGTCTGTCTGTCTGTCTGTCTGTCTGTCTGTCTGTCTGTCTGTCTGTCTGTCTGTCTGTCTGTCTGTCTGTCTGTCTGTCTGTCTGTCTGTCTGTCTGTCTGTCTGTCTGTCTGTCTGTCTGTCTGTCTGTCTGTCTGTCTGTCTGTCTGTCTGTCTGTCTGTCTGTCTGTCTGTCTGTCTGTCTGTCTGTCTGTCTGTCTGTCTGTCTGTCTGTCTGTCTGTCTGTCTGTCTGTCTGTCTGTCTGTCTGTCTGTCTGTCTGTCTGTCTGTCTGTCTGTCTGTCTGTCTGTCTGTCTGTCTGTCTGTCTGTCTGTCTGTCTGTCTGTCTGTCTGTCTGTCTGTCTGTCTGTCTGTCTGTCTGTCTGTCTGTCTGTCTGTCTGTCTGTCTGTCTGTCTGTCTGTCTGTCTGTCTGTCTGTCTGTCTGTCTGTCTGTCTGTCTGTCTGTCTGTCTGTCTGTCTGTCTGTCTGTCTGTCTGTCTGTCTGTCTGTCTGTCTGTCTGTCTGTCTGTCTGTCTGTCTGTCTGTCTGTCTGTCTGTCTGTCTGTCTGTCTGTCTGTCTGTCTGTCTGTCTGTCTGTCTGTCTGTCTGTCTGTCTGTCTGTCTGTCTGTCTGTCTGTCTGTCTGTCTGTCTGTCTGTCTGTCTGTCTGTCTGTCTGTCTGTCTGTCTGTCTGTCTGTCTGTCTGTCTGTCTGTCTGTCTGTCTGTCTGTCTGTCTGTCTGTCTGTCTGTCTGTCTGTCTGTCTGTCTGTCTGTCTGTCTGTCTGTCTGTCTGTCTGTCTGTCTGTCTGTCTGTCTGTCTGTCTGTCTGTCTGTCTGTCTGTCTGTCTGTCTGTCTGTCTGTCTGTCTGTCTGTCTGTCTGTCTGTCTGTCTGTCTGTCTGTCTGTCTGTCTGTCTGTCTGTCTGTCTGTCTGTCTGTCTGTCTGTCTGTCTGTCTGTCTGTCTGTCTGTCTGTCTGTCTCTCTCTCTCTCTTCTCTCTCTCTCTCTCGCTCTCTCTCTCTCTCTCTCTCTCTCTTTCTCCTCCTCTCTCCCTCCCCCCCATCTCCTCTACTCTCCTCTCTCTCTCTCATGTCTCTCTCTCTCTCTCTCTCTCTTCTCTCTCTCTCTCTCTCTCTCTCTCTCTCTCTCTCCTCCTCCCTGTGTCTCTCTGTCTCTCTTCTGTCTGTCCTGGTCTGTCTGCCTCCTCTCTCTCGTCTCTCTCTCTCCTTCTCACCTCCTTCCCTTCTCCTCCTCTCTCTCTCTCGTCCTCTCTCCTCATCGGTCTCGTCCTCTCTCTCTCTCTCTCTCTCTCTCTTCCTCTCTCTCTTCATCCTCATCCTCGGTCTCTCTCTCTCTCTCTTTCTTTCTCTTTCCCTCCCTCTCTCACTCTTTCTTTTTCTCCTCTCTCTTCCCGTTTATAAAGGCCTTTGTGTAAGAATGTACACATATCCATGAATATCAAAAATATTTCCACTAAAGATTTTCGTAACCAATCGTATCATTCTTGAGCTGTTTTATTATAGTTCTTTATGACCTCTTCGAAAATATTCAGATTTAAGACAAAATGGCCTCTAATGTTTGATTTCATTGTTGATAAAGTGAAATGACTCCTGAAGCTGAAATTCAAACGTCGGGATGTTGTGTCTGCCACTTCATTATACTCGCATTGCTTTTCAAAATAGCTTTCAATGCACTTTGTCAGGTTTGTAACTTGTTTGTAACACCTGAAGACGTTACCGAGGAAAAACATATCAGCTGTAATCGCCCTGAAGGAAACGAGAGAGGAAAATGCTTTTGGGGACTCTGCACTGATGCCATAATGGTAGTGTTGGTGATCTGGAGTAATGATGATAATGGCGATTGGTAGTGTGATTACGGCGGTGGTAATGATGGTGACTCTCAGGAGGTGATGGTGTGGAGATTATCAGAAGGCGTGATGTTGAGGCACGAGCAAAATATATTTTCTGAAGAAGACGCGTGACGTGAGGAACGTCTTGTGGCTTAACATGATTTTTTTTCTTACATTAAGATGGTGCTACACAAATGAATAGAGATCACCCACACACGCGAAAATATATGGATATATAATATGTAGTAAATATTTTGGATATGATTTTGCATAATTTTTTTGCCATAAATAAATTTGATTTTGCTATAAATGTTTATTTAGGAAAAAAATCACGGATTTCTCTTAGAAAAGGGACAAAGTAAACGGTTTTCTATTAAAAAGGGACAAATAAAACGGATTTCTCTTAGAAAAGGGACAAAGTAAACGGTTTTCTATTAAAAAGGGACAAAGAAAATGGATTTCTCTTTAAAAAGGGACAAAAAAAAACGGATTTCTCTTAAGAAAAGGAAAGAAAACGGATTTCTCTTAAGAAAAGGAAAGAAAACGGATTTCTCTTAGAAAAGGGACAAAGTAAACGGTTTTCTATTAAAAAGGGACAAATAAAACGGATTTCTCTTAGAAAAGGGACAAAGTAAACGGTTTTCTATTAAAAAGGGACAAAGAAAATGGATTTCTCTTTAAAAAGGGACAAAGTAAACGGTTTTCTATTAAAAAGGGACAAAGAAAACGGATTTCTCTTAAGAAAAGGAAAGAAAACGGATTTCTCTTAATAAAGGGACAAAGAAAACGGATTTCTCTTAAGAAAAGGAAAGAAAACGGATTTCTCTTAAGAAAAGGAAAGAAAACGGATTTCTCTTAGAAAAGGGACAAAGTAAACGGTTTTCTATTAAAAAGGGACAAATAAAACGGATTTCTCTTAGAAAAGGGACAAAGTAAACGGTTTTCTATTAAAAAGGGACAAATAAAACGGATTTCTCTTAGAAAAGGGACAAAGTAAACGGTTTTCTATTAAAAAGGGACAAAGAAAACGGATTTCTCTTAGAAAAGGGACAAAGTAAACGGTTTTCTATTAAAAAGGGACAAAGAAAACGGATTTCTCTTAAGAAAAGGAAAGAAAACGGATTTCTCTTAGAAAAGGGACAAAGTAAACGGTTTTCTATTAAAAAGGGACAAAAAAAAAAAAAAACGGATTTCTCTTAGAAAAGGGACAAAGTAAACGGTTTTCTATTAAAAAGGGACAAAGAAAACGGATTTCTCTTAAGAAAAGGAAAGAAAACGGATTTCTCTTAGAAAAGGGACAAAGTAAACGGTTTTCTATTAAAAAGGGACAAAAAAAAAAAAAAACGGATTTCTCTTAGAAAAGGGACAAAGTAAACGGTTTTCTATTAAAAAGGGACAAAGAAAACGGATTTCTCTTAAGAAAAGGAAAGAAAACGGATTTCTCTTAATAAAGGGACAAAGAAAATGGATTTCTCTTTAAAAAGGGACAAAAAAAAACGGATTTCTCTTAAGAAAAGGAAAGAAAACGGATTTCTCTTAATAAAGGGACAAAGAAAACGGATTTCTCGTTAATATGGCTTAGTCTTGAGTCAAATTGCTGGTAATCATACGGTGTATTTTTGAATGGCATTGGAAGGATTAAGTAGCACGGGGGATATACTATATCAACACACGAAGGAACACATGTGCGTGAATCTATTGCTTTAAGAGGCAGACTTACAAATCTAAACAAACAAACAAACAAACACATACACAGATACACAAACAAACACATACACAGATACACAAACAAACACATACGCAGATACACAAACAAACACATACACAGATACACAAACAAACACAAACACGTAACCCCCCACCACATACACACGAACACATAAACAAAAACAAATACACAAACAAACACGTAAACAAACACACATACACACGCACGCACGCACACATACACAAATACACAAACAAGCACACACAGACACGTAACCAAACACACACACACACACACAAACACGCACACGCACACAAACACACACACACACACACACACACACACACACACACACACACACACACACACACATACACACACACACACACACACACACACACACACAGACACGCGCACAGACCCACCCTTGAAAACTCCCGTGGCGTTGCTGCACTGGAAGAGGCGTGGGGGGTGCGCCGGGTGCTCCTCCTTCAGCTTCGGGGTCGTCGCGTAGGGCTCCTTCCCTCCGAGGGCGCGCCAGAACTCCTCCTTCTCGTATCCTTAGAAGGAAGAAAGTTTTTTTTTGTTATAAAGGATAATTTGGTGTTTCTTGTTTGTTTGTTTTGTTTTGTTTGGATGTTTGTTTATTCATTTATTCGTTTACTTGTGTATTCATTCATTCATTTATTACTGTATTTATTCATCTATTTATCTATTCCTGTTATTTCTATTCTTCGTTCACTTATTTATTCATTATTCAGCTCATCTCGTTTCTTGACGTCCATCGACTCTTTTAAGGTCATCTTCCTTTCCCTGATTTATCTTCGCCTATCTTTTCTCCCATTTTACTCTATTCCCCCTTTTCCTTTTCTGGATTCCTTCTCTCCTCAGATTCCTCTCTTCTCTCTTTTTACTGTATTCCCCCTTTTCCTTTTCTGGATTCCTTCTCTCTTTCGCTTCTTCTTTTCTTCCTTTTTTATTGTCTTCCCCTTTTTCCCTCTCTGGATTCCTTCTCTCCTCCGCTTCTTTTAGTTCCTCCATTCGTTTCCCTTCAGAGCCTCTTCGCCTTGCACTCTACGGCCCTCTCACACTTTCCCTATCGATTCAGACTCGTCCCCTCTCTCTTCTTCTCCTTCACCTTATCTCCACTTATCCTCTCAAAGTTTCCCCTTCGAGCCCTTCTTACAGTCTATAGTCACTCTCTCTTTCTCCGTCTTTGTCTCTGTCTCTGTCTCTGTCTCTCTCTCACTCATTCTCTCTCTCTCATTCTCGGTCTCTCTTTCTCTCTCTCTCTCTCTCTCTCTCTCTCTCTCTCTCTCTCTCTCTCTCTCTCTCTCTCTCTCTCTCTCTCATTCTCTCTCTCTCATTCTCGGTCTCTCTCTCTTTCTCTCTCATTCTCAGTCTGTCTGGCTGTCTTTCTTCCTGTCTGTCTTTCTGCCTGTCTGTCTGTCTGTCTCTCTCTCTCACTCTCACTCTCTCTCTCTCTCTCTCTCTCTCTCTCTCTCTCTCTCTCTCTCTCTCTCTCTCTCTCTCTCTCTCTCTCTCTCTCTCTCTCTCTACCGCCCCCCCTCATCTCTTCATCTTGTCTCTTCCCACATGATTCCCCTCATACAAACGAGAAAAAAATATGAGGCTCACTTCATACCCTGACCTTATATACCTTAAACTATCTCTTCCCACAAGAGTGAAAAAAAAACAATGAGGTATCCCCTTATTTCTCAGCCAAAGTACTCCCCTCATACAACCTAGAATAAATACGAGACTTCCCCTCTACCTCTCCTAAACTACTCCCCCATTAAACATACAAAAGCGAAAACACAATGCGAGGTTTCCCTTTTTCCCTTCCTAGTCATCCCCTCATGCAACAGATCGGAGTCCAATGCTCCCCTTATCCCTCCCTAGTCATCCCCTCATGCAACAGAGTCCGAGCTTTCCCTTATCCTCACCTTCAGACACAATCAAGGTGTCTCCCCGGCTGGACGCGAAAGTCTTGGCCATCTCCCTCTCGTCGCCCGTGGAGCCTTTGCCGCACCACACGTACGTGGTCTGGGGCGTCGCCACCACGAAGCAGTCGTTGGAGTTCAGGCAGCCCGCGCGGAGGTCGACCTGGAGGGAGGAAGAGGAGGGAGAAGTGAGGACGAGGGGAGAAGTGAGGAAGAAGGGTTAGGGAGAGGGGAGGAAAAGTGAGGAAGAGGGGGGAGGGAAGAGGAGAGGAGAAGGGAGGAAGAGGAGAGGAGAAGGGAGGAAGAGGGAGGGTGAAGTTAGGAAGAAGGGGTGGGGAGAGGGGAGAAGTGAGGAAGAGCGAGGGAGACGTGAGGAAGAGGGGTAGAGAAGAGGGGGAGAAATAAAGAAGAGGAAGAGGGGGAGAAATAAGGAAGAGGGAGGGAGAAGTGAGGAAGAGGGTGAGAAATGAGGAGGAGGGGGAGAAATAAGGAAAAGAGAGGGGGAAGTGAGGAAGAGGGAGGGAGAAATGAGGAGGAAGGGAGAAATGAGAAAGAGGGAGGGAGAAATGAGGAAGATGGAGGGAAAAATGAGGAAGAACGAGGGACAAAGGAGTAAGAGTGAGAGAGACATAAGAAAGAGGGAGGCTGGATTACGTTGTGGATCTATACTTTTTTTAAAATTATTATTTACTTTTATTTTTGTCTTGTTTATTTTTGACCGCTTTTCATCTTTCTCTGTTGTTTTATCAGCTGTTTTTGTTATTCCTTTTCTAGTTCCTTTTTGCTTGTTTTCCTTACTCTTTCTTTCAAACTTTTCCTTTCTTTTCCTTCTTGCGTTATAATGATGTGCATTGTTTGATCGGATTAGAATTGATTAATGAGATGATCATTCTCTAAATGACACCATAATGAACTAATTAAGAATCTGAATGTGATAAGAATCTTCACAATGAGAGAGAGAGAAAAAAATATATGATTCATATTATAGTTGTCAAGCTGTCATATGGAGATGCTAAAGATGTATCAATCATCTTAATTGCCTGACATGCATTTTTTTTAATCTGGTGTTTCACTACCTCAAACTGCAATATAATTTCTACATATCCATTTCTTTGCATAACTTATGCAATTTTTTCCTCCATAAAAATTGTTACTGGTTCACTTTTTTTTTGCAATTTTTACGTAAAGTTTCCTGGAAAAATGATATATTTATTACAAAAATTAAGCCTTTAAACTGATTAAGATAATCCTCTTACGTATCACGTACTGGTATTCAAAGACTAATATCACGTGATCTTATTAATTCCAAGCCTATTTGTTGAATGATGACTGGGATTACGTGGGATTAAACATTTTTGTTATCTGTTTCGAAGATATTAGTATTCAACATTGAGATTAGATCCGCTCTCT